TTTAATAGAAGTTTAATAGGATTTTTATGGTTATTTATTTTGCGAGATAGCATTTGGAACAAAGTGTGGACGGGTTGCCGTTACTATGACACCCGTCATCCAATCGAATCATGCATGAAATCCTTTTAAGACTGAATAAAAAATGATAACCGGTTCAAGAATTCATATAATGAAAAATACCATTGCTGCAGCCTATTTTACCAAATGTTTTCATGAAAAGTTTTCATGAGATTTTCTTCACAAGTTTTTTTGGTGAAACAAATGTATCTAAATGTAGCAATGAGAAAATTTCAATAGAAACGTGAAAATATTCTCATTTTTTTACCATTATTTTGAGCGCAAATTTTAAATTTTCATTTATTTTTGAGCCAACCATGATGTGATCCCACATTTTTGAGAAATAATCTCGAAATTTCAAGTTGGCGCTCAAAATAATGTCAAAAAAATGAGAATATTTTCACATTTTTATTGAGATTTTCTCATTGCTACATTTAGATATATTTGTTTGACCAAAAAAAAACTTGAGAAGAAAATCTCATGAAAACTTTTCATGAAAACATTTGGTGAAATAGGCTACTGATGGTCACCAAGAAATTGGATACATTCACATAGCTAGACAATTTGCTTGTTTTTTCTACATCACCATTTACTTGAGTTAAGAATTTTAGTTTTTTAACAATTTTTCAATACTACTGTGTCCAAAAAGTAAGGTGACATTGCATTTATTTTGAAAATTCTTTATTTATTCTTCCAAATCAATTTCATCGCCTTCAAAGTAATCCCCTCCCGATACAATGCACTTATGCCAACGGATTTTCCAATCTTCGAAACAGTTGAAAAAGTCGACTTCAGGGATGGCCCTCAGCTCCGTCTTCGCTGCGGCTTCAATCTGCTCTATCGTCTCAAAACGGTGTCCCCGGAGCGGTCTTTTGAGCTTGTTGAACAGCCAGAAGTCGCACGGTGCCAAATCAGGTGAATACGGTGGTTGTGGAACGATATGAGTCGAGTTTTTGGCGAAATGTTCACGAAGAATGATCGCATTGTGAGACGATGCATTATCATGGTGCAAAAACCAAGAGTTGTCTTTCCACAATTCCGGCCTCTTTTGGCGGATAGCGTTACGCAAACGACGCATAACACTCAAATAATATTCCTTGTTGACTGTTTGACCCGGGGGAAGGAACTCATAATGCACAACACCCCGATAATCGAAGAAAACAGTCAACATGACCTTGATTTTTGAGCGACTTTGGCGCGGTTTTTTTGGTCTCGGCTCACCTTTGGCACGATATTCGCTCGATTGGTCGGTTGTTTCCGGGTCGTAAGCATAGATCCAAGTCTCGTCTCCAGTGATCATGCATTTCGTCTTGTCAATGTAGTCAGAAAGCATTGTTTCACACACGTCAACTCGACACCTTTTTTCCAAAAAATTCAATGATTTCGGTACCAGTCGAGATTTGACGCGTTTGAGGCCCAAAACATCCTTCAAAATGGTATTGACTGAGCCTTTCGATATGCCAATATCATCAGCAAGGTCTCTAATCGTTAATCGACGGTTTTCCAACACCAAATCTTTAATTTTTTGGACGTGAGCTTCGTCGGTTGAGGTTGATGGTCGCCCAGCACGCTCTTCGTCTTCGACACATTCACGGCCTGCTTGGAACTCACTATACCACTTGTAAACATTTTTTTTCGACATAGCCTCATCACCAAAGGCTTTCTGCACCATCCTCAACGAATCCGCAGCAGAAAATTGATTCCGCAAACAAAATTTAATGCAAATTCTTTGATCAACAAATTTCGACATCGCAAAAAACGAGAAATTCACTTTTAGCAGTCCACAAAACGAAGCGTATCTCAAACACTAATGAATATTTTGACGTGTAATTTGGCAGGGATGTCAAAGACAGTCCTACCAACCTAGAAATAAAAGGATTTTTTCAAATTCCCCAGCGCGCTAAATTTTAAATGCAATGTCACCTTACTTTTTGGACACAGTAGTATGAACATTGTATTTCCGCTTTTTCCAACAGAAAATGTTTCCATGCTTTGGGAAAACTTTTTGTTATTACTTCAACGTATTTATGAAATATTTTTACTCTATAATCTCGTCTACCTCTTAGCAATTCTACTAAAATTAGCAATTCAGTGGACTATTATATAATCTAAATTAATTTCCACATAAATCACCTGCTCCCATCAAAGAAACCATGAAGCAAACCAGAACAAAATGTAGGAAACCATGGACATGGAATCAAAATCGAAGTAACGTTTCCATTCAGTGCACAAATTTGTGCTTTTAATTACCAAAAATTGCACAATGTTCGGAAGGCACTTTTCGGAAAAGGTATTCTTTTTGTTTGAACTGAAATGAAGAAATTCATCACAATCTCCAAATGGAATGAGTGTGCAAAGTCTTTACACCGACATGCACACAAATTATTGAATGGGAAGCCAGTGGATTAAATTGCAAGCTGTGTACTGAAATTCTTCGCATAGTCGAATCGGTCTTTGTGTGTGTGTGTGTGTTTGTGTTTGTATGCGTTCGCTATTCATTTTGTTGTCTGGCATTAGTTCTTGTGGTTTACAGTGTGGCGTCCAATGGAAACTGAATTGAATGCAAAGACTGAAATCAATAGTCAAGCATTACATTTCAAGAATGAGTAATGAAAGGAGCCATTTATTTGTAGCATAAATGTAAAGAGCATTGGAAATAACTCATGTTGAAACATCCGCATGAAAGAGACTTTGTATAAATTCGGTGAGAAGGGAAATGGTAGAATCCTAAGCATTAGCTGGCCATTCAAGCTTTCAACTCCATGAAAAACATAATAAATAATTAAATGAAAAATGAAGAAAAAAAAAACAAAAATCGTCTGAATGATGCTTTTCTCTCAAATTTCATACGCCAAGCGGATTAGTTGAATCAATGCCTCTCGGCTGAATCAGAATTCCCTCTCTTTGGAATAAAGAAAAATTGCATATTCACACCAGCATTGAAATACATCATACTGTGGACTTTGATTCAAACATCGAAAACTTTTCACCGTTCCTCAAGCATTCCATTGAAACTGGAAATAGTTTCGGTGCATTTGTATTTTATCTGGTGGTTGTTTGCCGGGTTTTTTTCGTTGTTGTTGTCAAAATTTACTTGAAACTTGAACTTTGAGGTTGCAGCAGTGAACCGAATTTTTCGGTCTGTGGTCAGAATCTCGGCTATAAATTTTGGTTTTGCAAAACATATTTTCACTCGGTGGTTTTTTTCTCTCTCTTTTCTTATCCAAGTGCAACCGTTGATAACAAGTGTGCTGGTTTATTTAAATTAATTCCTTTCATACAAAGTTTTCTTCGTTCTGTCTGTCGTTCGTTCGCTTCTTTCTCGGTCGTTCATCGCACGAAGTTGCCCAAACACACACACCAACACACAGCAGCAGCAGCAGCAAACCGGTGAACAAAAAACTTTTGTCATTCGTCGAATTAAATGTAGCCGCATAATATGGTGAGTTGGTGAATACTAACTGACGGACACCGACCGAAAACATAATAAAGCGAGAACAAAAGATGAACTCGGTAGATGAGGTAGAAATGAGCGTATGCATAAGAGTTGGTATGTGTATGTGTGTGTGTCACTTTGGCCAAAAACTAAATTCGAAAATGACAAAAGTGGCCGTAGAACGAGAGAAAAATCACCGGGATGACAATCGAGTCACACAGTTGCCGAAAACAAACAAGCGAATATTCCCATTTCCATTTTATTTCAATTAAATTTTAGATCCAATTATTTGAATGGTAGATAAAGTGAGTAAAGTTTCTTTCTTTTGATGAAGATAAATTCAAGTGCAACAGACAGCAAGTCTATATAGATGAGTGGGTCTTAAAAAAAGGATCTGGCAATTATTGCGGAAAAGATAGAGTCATCGTCATTCGTGGTTAATGCAAATGCGAATTCATACAAACGCACACACACAAATAGGCGATAATGAATAGAGACGGTGGATGGATGGAAGCAAGTGAATAAAAAAAATGAAGGCAGAACAAATGTAAAAGAAGGAAATGTGGAGCGTTCGTACAAAAGTGACGTAAATGAGAGAAATTTATTCAGAAAAGTGCAGGCAAAACGATAAGGGTGAACAAACAAATGAACAAACGTACGAACAAACAGCACGGAAACAGCCAAGTAAAAACGAAGACGATGCAGAAAATTGCTATTCGTGTGCAATGAAACAGTTGTCTCATTGCTTATCAAACAAAGCCGGACAAACAAGCACTGTCACATCGGCAACTACATAACGAGAAGAAAACAAAGTTCCGGCAATTTTCACTACAATGAAAAAGTTTCTTTTCTCCTGTTGGTTGGCATTAAGTAGAGAAGAGAAAAAATAAGCACATAGTTTGAGAAAAGCGAGCCGAAGCGTGAGAGAAAAATTGAGAGAACGAAAGAACGAGAATGAAAGAGCAAACTGCTTTAAGATGAGGAGCATAATGACAATACAGACGGCTCTTCTCCTTATTTTCTGCACTCTTTCTCTCTATTTCGCTTCGCTACCCGTTTTGATGCCGCCGCGTATGCAATTTTCGTTTGAACTTTAATGAAAATGTTTCAAAGTGCAGCACTTGCCACGAGTTTACAGCATCTGCAGCGTGAAGAATGGCAATATTATGTTGTGTTTTGGTCATGGCATCAATTTCGTTGCCACCATCTTCTCATTTTAATTACTTTGTAAATTTGAGCGCGCTGAATAATATGGCCCCACACAGAACAGTCTGTGTATGCGTGCATACACTTATCGCGCGCGTACGAGCGATAGAGGAAGAAGGAGTGCAAAGCGTGAGAACATTGTTGCTTGTACATAAAAACCATCTATTTTTAATAACTGAACATCTTTTCCTCGGCGAATTAAGACTCTATCCATTGTTTCCATTCGTTGTAATGCGTTTTTTTCCCTCACAACAAAAATTTGCAACCAAGATAAATGGATCGATTTTTTACTCACTTGCATGCAATTACGTCTTAATTCTTTTTTTCTGTCAAATAATAATTATCGCTTGTGTCACTGTAATTAATCCAGCCAAAATCGATTTTAGCACCACAAATGTTCTTGTTCAATTTTCTCGCGCGTTTTTACACGTTGCGCAATGATTGTTTTTCTTTTCTCTTCTTCTCCTGTTTTTTTTCTTGTTCAACAAAAGAATGGGTTCGTTGTTATTATTGTTCAAAACTTTGTGAGTTCAGAAAATTCACTTCAAATTGGTTGATAGCACGCACCAAACGAAGAACTTGGTAATTCTTGGCAAACAATAAATCACTGTGTCACTTTCGAATCAATGGTGTCTTTAAATTTCACAATAGCCAACTTTGTCGTCTTTTATTCAATAACGTTTATTCATCGGTGCTAACACGCCTTTGGGCTAATAATTCAGATTGCAAGTTTTCATTAACTTTTTCTTTGGTGAATGACGAAATGATAAAAAATCACGTTCAACCAAATCGTTATGTAAAGAAAAATCCCAAAATCCAAATGCAGTGTGTTCTCGTCGTTGACACTACCTTCGTACCCAGAACGAACAAACGAAAAAAAATTGCAAAAAAATAATTTTTATTTGTTTTCTTCCTTCTTCCTGTCTCGTCCAATATCCACTTTTGTCAACAAACGGAAATAAAAAAAATTCTCACAATTTGATATTAAATTCTAAATTTTTCCATCACTTTGACAAATATTCTCGACAAAATGCAATAAAAATGCCTTCAACATGAGATGCTCTACACTTCGCAAATGACAAAAAAAATTCGTTGGATGCACTCTTTCGAATTGTTCTAAATCCAAAAGCAAAAATTCTTAAGCAGCGATAACAGAAATGGCCTGTTGTACGCAACGTTCAATGAGCGACTGTCGAGCCAATGTGATGCGTTTCTAAATATGAGCCCGACAACATCAGCGACGACGACGACGACGACGACGACAGCGATGACGATGGAGACTCAAAATGCCGGAGAAATGTTGATTTTCCAAACGTCGTAGGTCATGCAAACTGGATAGAGAACACAGATCAAGTGAAGTGAAACGCGCGAGTGTTTGTATGCGAAACAAGAGCACGCAATCCGGACAGAATTCATTCAGCCAGCCAGCCAGCCAGCCAGTGTGTTCATTCACCGCCAGTCATACAAACCAACGAGAGTACGAGAATCCGACTCCAAATGCAACTGAACGTGACGCGCGTGCGACGCAGGGGAAATCCATGATTCACGTGACTCTCTTTACGCATTGTTGTAACTCGTGTGTGCCTGTACATAGTGACGCATTGTACCGGTACCAAATTACTTCCCCTCGCCCGCATCCTCGCCACTTTTGTTTTGATTCTGCATTCAAACTGTTGCACTGTACCGTATATATGTGTGGTAAGGGACATGCTTTCAAGCGACAATTGTTTTCCAGCGATTACGTCGAAAACGGCATGCAAAGGTTTATTGCTCTCTTTCTCTCTCACTTTTTTCCCTTTGAACGTACAAAAATGTGTAAAATGTTGTTCATTCTTCATCCATTTAACACTTTTATTAATCAACGCATCTCAGCGAAACAAAAAAAGGCATTTTTGTCGCATAAAAATAAAATAGAAAAAAATGCGCGTGAAACCAAAATTAAAAAGCAAATCATTTTTTCATCTATTTATGGAAAATTAAAGCGCATAAAATAAATTGCCTTTTAATCCATTCACACCAGCGGCAAAGCAAATGGTACCGGTTTGACAATCGGCTGTGCGGGTTTTGGTTGGGAAAAACCAATGAAAACATCAGCCGGTGGCGATAAAAAAAATATGGATGAAAGATTAAAGTAAACGCAACAACAAAATAAAGTGGTACGCACAAAGCAATGAACAAGTACATTCGATGTAAGCAGAATTAAAAGCAAAAATGGCACAGGACCTATGAACATATCACAAACCATTTCCGAATTCAAGCACGAACGGGTGAAAAAAAAGAGCACACACACATAGCGATGCAATTCGTTTTTTTGTGTGTATTTTTTTCCTGGGCATTTTAATAATATTTTAAACAGCATTAATGTGCGACTAAATGGTTTTCTTGTCAAATAAATCCCTTTGATTTAATATTACGTATTACGTATTGTGGGGAACATTTGCATAAATGCATTGGCCATTATTATCCGATGTGTGTTTGTGTGTGTTTCGCGAATACGGAATTGTTTTGCGTCGTTTGCATTTTTAACACGGGTTGCACACGGAGTGAGAATATGTTAACAACAACTTGAGGCTATTATGTGAGTTTGCCGTTGTTTTGTATACACACATAAAGAGAAAGATAGAGAGAGAATGGCAGAGAGACTGCATACGCTATAGCCACATTTAGTAGCATGACAAATTTGTGGATTGGTTTTGTGAAAGAGAGCGCTTCCGAAGGTTAATCGTTGCTAGCTGATTTCCATAAAATAAATCGTTATATGGGATTTTGGGATGCAGTTTGACCTCATTCTTTTTCAGTCCCAACTAATTTCGATTAATACGTCGCAAGCATACACTATGTACATGGTTGAGAAAAGCCACGATAAATGTGCTCCTTGAAAATATTCATACGAAATGTTGTAGCATGTTCGCAAAATGGTGTGTGCCTGTGCCTGTGCCTGTGTGCTTGTAGCAAAATCGAAGGCTTTGCGTGTGTGTGTACTTATTGAAATCTGCAGCCATTTTCAGCTCACTTTCGCAAATCATTTTCCCGAAAGGAACAGCCGAAAATAAGGAGAGCGAACAGCGCACCGAAAGAAAAAAACCCAGACAACCAACAAAAAGATTGCTTAGCACACTCGATTCGATTACATGCAATGCATATATTCATTTTCCATAGCGTGTATTCTATACTCGGTTGCGTTCAACATGGCAAATGCAACGAGAGTAACAAAGCAGTTGGCAAATTTACATAATCGATTTAGGTGCGTTCATTCTCGGGACCAATTTTACTTTCAGAATCAAGGAATTTGTGTGTATATGTGTCAAAGAGTGTCGTCGTTTGCCATTCTCTCGCTTACCACATCCATTGTGCATCTAGTGCATCTCTTCGATCAAGTGGTGCTCTTTTGTGCATGTCTTTGTGTGTGTCTATGCGCAGCAGCCATTCAAATGCTATGATTAGTCGTTAGCTAAACGCGCTCTACGAATTCACGGAAACACAAATTATCTATTTAATTTACTGCCAACACTAATTCACTTTCACACATGCCAGTTTGTTCGATAGCATTCAAGTGCATTTGCCTTGCTCTTGCTCTTACTCTCGCACACGACACACCATATCCAATATTGCAAGACAAACTTCATCTCAAAATTTACCCGCATACTCAAACTCGTGTCATGACAATGTTGAATAGTTTTTGTTTGTATTTCGAATTTGTGCGATGGAACTTTGGTCTTTCCATATCTCTCTCACTCTCACTCTATCTCGCTCGCTCTCGTTCCATGCAAGACGATCGATATTCAAAAATATAACCCAATGACTCTAAATCGTACCCGAATTTCAAATAGTTGAACAACGAATATCGAATAGTTTGAAATATTCTATAAATCAAAATTTATATTCAATGCGGATGAGATGTAGAGCAGCTCATGTTCATCTAAATTGAAAGCATTTTTCATTCATAGTTGAGTCCGCCTGCATAATGTTTCCAAATGAGCAACATGTTTTATTCAATTTCGTGAGAAAAAAATTGTATAGTATACTCAACGATCTAACCGCAAACATGAATTAATTCATTTGTGGCAAAAATGGTATGCAATTTAATTTCTAGTTTTCACTCGAAACGCAACAATTTCCATTATGCTTCACAATGGCCCAAATATCGAGTGTAAACTTCTCAACTTCGAAATACATCCACTCAATAAAAAGACACAGCACATATTGCATTGATTATTTGATGACTTGTTCGTACATCGTTTGCTTCGGGTGAATATGTTCAAATTATCCATGAGTGTATGTGCGAGAGAGCGAGAGGAAAGTTGAGCAACACGAAATTTGTTCAGTTCATTATGTTCATTCAGCATTGGGTGCACTAATAAAACTTGTCTTCTCGAAGAGTTTTGGATTTTATTTTTGTTTTCAATTAAAATTCACTTAGAAAGAAAAAAATCCGAAGTTTTTGTTTACACGCTGGAAGTTGATACTATCCCATGCAAAAACATTGCCTCTAAGCCAAGCTAGTTAAGAGTTGAGTTTACTCATTTACATAATATGCGTCGAATGGAGTTGCATACTGTGTCGTGTTGTTTATTCTTCTTCTTCTTTTGATTTTTTATCATTTGCGGAAAGTGGTGAAATTGAATAAGTTTGGAGTTATAGTTTTTCGATACGCTTCATTCCTCGGCATTGCTCTTCGAACATGGAATGGTACGGACTCAAAGATGCACCGCAAACATACACACACACACTTGCATGGCTTTCAAAAACAAACTATTAAAGTCAACGGAAGTTAGAAAACAGTATCCATATATACAGTGAATGTGCGCTCAAAAGTTTTCATATAAATATTGGTTGATACATAATTAGAAATAAGAAGAATTTTCTTGCAATTAGACATTTATTTGCAATTATTTTATTTTTATGCTTTAGTTTTGTTACACACAAGCAAAAGAATTACATAGTTCCATTCATATATGAATGGTTTGGAGCGAAAATGTAATACAGAAAATTTGTGCGGAAAAATGTCGATGATGAATGAGCGGAAAAGGGATAGCTATATAGTAAACTGTATAGTAAACTATAGTTAACTATATAGCTATCCCTTTTCATTTGACATTTTTCCGCTCAACTTTTCTGTATTACATTTTCGCTCCAAACCATTCATTTCAGATTGATTGGTTACAACTATTTATTTGATTGTACAGCATTCCAAATGGTTGACTCAAACAGATTCCTGTGCTTGACGATACTCAAACACACTGCCACGTTCGACAAACTCTGACGTTTGTATAGCTGCATCACTTTCATTTGGACCCTTTTCATCTGCTCGACCATAACCACCACCGCCGGGTGTTTTCAGTGCGAATGTGTCTCCAGTTTCGATATCTACAGCCGTTTTGCTGCCCAAATAAATGATCTGTCCGTTTGATTTTTTTAATAAATTTATGCCGCTTTTCCCTGGCTCGCCCCCATTCATTCCGTACGGTCTTAAAGCTCGACGTTCGGTTAGCACCGACAATGTCAACGATTTCCTAAACAAAAGCTCGCGTTCGATGCCTTCACCACCGTTGAATTTACCTCGACCACCCGACTGGTCGGTTCGTAGGCAGAATTTGTTCAAAATAATCGGGTAACGACTTTCAAGAATTTCGGGATCAGTAATTCGAGTGTTGGTCATATGTGTGTGTACGCCACTTGTTCCATGCCAACTTGGACCTGCACCACTGCCACCTGCCACTGTTTCATAATAGCCAAATTGTTCGTCGCCAAGTGTTATATTGTTCATGCATCCTTGGGATGCCGCACATACTTGAAATGCCGATAAAACAACATCAACGATTCGCTGTGATGTCAACACATTTCCACCAACCACTGCAGCATCGTCTGCCGGATCCAAAATGGAATTTTTCGGTATAATTACTTTAATCGGGTTTAGACAGCCTTGGTTCAATGGAACATCATGGCCCACCATGCAGCGCAGGCAATAAATCAACGCCGAAAGAGTTATAGCTCTCGGCGCATTGCAATTGCCATACACTTGATAACCGGACCCGGTGAAATCGCACAGTGCCGACCCAGCCACTTCGTCAATTGTAATTTTTAATCTGATTGGTGAACCATCATCCATATACTCCTCTGCATATAGATCTGTTGTGCCAGTGCTATTGTATTGAAATGATTTTGAATTGGAATTAATTTTGAGCAGAAAAAAGAGTGTGGAATTGAGGTCAGTTTGAAAATGAAATTGAGCTAATACGGAAATATATGTACGCGGCTTACCGTTCACGAGTTTTTCGGGCAATTTCTTTGAGCATGTCCCGCACAGCGACCTCAGCATTCTGCTGAATGTAATTCATGTATGCTTGAACAATTCGCAATCCATACGAATCAATGAGCTCGGACACTAATTGAATGCCCTTTTGATTAGCTGCTACTTGGGCTTTCAAGTCTGATAGATTGTCGGGAAGATTTCTAGTTCCGGTTGCACCTTTGACACCAGTCGGTGTAGTTAAAGCCTTGATTATTTCATCTTCTTTGAATTGACCACTTTCAACCAACAAAAATGACTTGAAAGCGGCTCCCTCTTGGGCGAGCGATGTTGAGTGAGGTGGCATCGAACCAGGAGTGATTCCTTAATGGAAAATAATGAAAGATATAAAAACAATGAAGTCAAGAAAGTCCCTCAAATCGTATACGTACCTCCTATATCAGCATGATGACCCCGTGATGCCACAAAGAAAACTGGTTTCTTTTCATTTCTAAAAATTGAAAGAAAAATCGTCAAAAATGCCGAAAAAAGAAGACGAAGGTTGAATAAAAAATAAATCAATTCAACTAAATACATAATCGGAATTCCAATTATCTAGAACGAAATTGTGGCTCAAATAATTTTGTACGAAACTTACTTATAGAAAACAGGTGTAATCACCGTCAAATCTGGAATAATTTTGAGTGGGAGAAAAAAAAAGAGTGTGAAAGTGAGGTCAGTTTGAAATCAAAATTGATCCAATACAGAAATATATGCACACGGCTTACCTGGTAAATGCGACCCACCCGCTTGTGGATGATTGGAAAGTAGAACATCTCCAGCCTTCAGTGTATCGCCTCTAACTTTCAGTTGATACTGTACGGTTTCTTGCATCGCACCCAAATGCACTGGAATATGAGGCGCATTACTAACCAGCCCACCATCTGGTCCAAATAAGGCGCATGAAAAATCGAGACGTTCCTTGATATTCGTAGAAATAGATGTTCTTTGCAAAATTCGACCCATTTGTTCGGCAATGCTCATGAAGCGATGACTGAAAATGCTCAACTGAACTGCGTCGAGTGTGTCGTCAACGCATTTCACCAAATTGCCATCCAATTCTACGTTGATAATTAAATCGCCTTTCTTCGTAACTTCCGCGCGGCAATTTGGTTCAATCAATATCGTGGACAGTTTATCGATGAGAATCAATGGGCCTTGCAAAATGTGACCGGCCGACACGTCAGTTGATAAAACTACACCAACTTCGACTAATCCAACACCGTCAAAGTAAGTTTTCACGCGATTTACAATTTTCGGTGATTCTTTGCTGGATTCAATGTCATCCTCATGTGGTGTATTCGATTTACCCGATCCACGCACACGAATATCATCGACAATCACTCTTCGGCCGCGGATCACAAAACCAAATTCCGTTTGGTATCTTTTTAAGAACGATCCATAAAAGTCACCATAATCTGGAATGTTTACACTCAAATCGGCTGTGCTGCTTGCATCCAGCGAAGGAGTGCACATGAGTGCTGTATCGGTTGAATCGTATCTCAAATGCAAAAATGGCTCAATCACAATGTGATCATTGTCAAATCCCTGATTTAGCAAGTTTGTACGACACTGAAGTGCAAGCGCATTTAATCGTGTGCAAATAGCTTCCACATTTGACAGACTATATTCCAAACCACATGGCTCTTGTGCTTCATAGACGACATCTGCAAGCGCCATTCCGTAAGCAGATAAAATGCCAGCATATTTATGAATCACGATTTTCGACATTCCAAGATCACGTGCAATGCTGCATGCATGCTGACCTCCAGCGCCTCCGAAACATGCCAACACATGTTTCGATGTATCATAACCACGGGATTGCGTCAAAGCACGAATTGGACGACACATTGCTTCGTTCGCAACGCGAATCATACCGATCGCAATTTCTTCGATTGAAAGCGGCGTCTGAAACGATGGGATTTTAGAGAGAAAATCGAATTTAGAAAATAAAAACAATTCTCTAAAAATGAGAACTATAGTCGCTAAAATGAATGATTGGTATTTGTCAATTCAAATTTACCGTTCTTTGTCCATTTTCCAATAAGAATGCATTAATCTCCGTTTGCAGCTCTTCAAACTTCTGTCTGGTTATCGCATAGTCCAGCGGCTCATTCTCATTTGGCCCGAATATTTTTGGGAAGTATTCAGGCAACAGACGACCCAACACCAAGTTGGCATCAGTCACAGTAAGAGGTCCACCTTTGCGGTAGCATGCTGGTCCAGGATGAGCTATTTGCCATTGGGAAAATTTGACATTTACCAATTGGTTTGATGGTTGACTCAATTTCATTATGCAAAAACTTGAATTGTTTTTTTCATTCTAATCAGAATAATTAATCTTGTTATTGAAATTAATTTAAACCCTACTGAATTTAGAAAATATCATTAAATAATTCAATGTATTTTTCTCACCTGAAGCCGATTCTGGTCCAACGACAAATAATCCGGATCTAAAGAAGAGCATCGAACCACCGCCTGCTGCAACCGTATTAATATCCAATTGTGGTGCTTGAATTGTGACACCGGCCGTTGTTGATTCAACAACATGCTCGTATTTTCCCTCAGCAAAACGAGACACATCCGTTGACGTTCCACCCATATCGAAACCAATCAACGGTTGGTCCGTGTCTCTCGGCCCAGTCACACCATAACTGTACGTGCAATTTAAATTGGCATTATAGTGCGCACATATAATTCACAGAAGAATGTGAAAACTTATTACCCGACTACTCCACCAGCTGGCCCGCTTAGTATAGCTCGTGCACCGCGGAAACTTTCCATATTCGTTAAACCGCCATCGCTTTGCATGAACAGCACATCCACTCCATTTAATTTATCTTTAAATCCGGCGGTAAAACTCTCTAAATAGCGTTCGACATGTGGAGTTAAGTAGGCTTCGGCACAAGCTGTGTATCCTCGATTCACTAAACGAATCATTGGCATCGCTTGATGCGACAAAGTAATGTGACTGAAACCGAGTTCCTTTGCAATCGCACCGACTCGTACTTCATGTTCAGGACATGCAAATGAGTGTGCCAAAACAATGGCTAACGATGTAATACCACTGTCCAAAACGTCTTTCAGTGCTGCACGAACCGCTTGTTCATCGATTACATCTTTTTCTAAATACTCCGAGTTAGCAACACCTTTTAAGGCTTTCCAATTCTTATCTGTGCGTAAATTGTCAAACGAACACAATTGAATGTGATAAAAGAAAGTGATTTGATAATTACAATTACCTAATTTGCAGAGATTGCGATGGGCTGGAACGATGCGGCAATCAATTTCGAATACTTTTTGGTATAAATTGGACGGTTTACGAATGTTTAAATCGAAAATCTTCGGTCTTGCTTGATTTCCTATGTACAGTAAATCACGAAATCCTTTATTCACCACCAAAGCAACGGGATCACCCTTCCGCTCAAGCAAAGCATTCGTTGCGACAGTTGTACCCATCCGAATCCAACCGATATTCTTTGTTTCTACCAAACCGTCAGCTGTTTGTGAATCGCTCGTTTCCTGTTTTATTTTGATACCATTCTTGTTTTCAGTGATTTACACACCAATTTTAGCACGTTTAACTCCTTACCTCAGCCAAAATACGTCGTATTCCCTCACGCGGAGCATCATTGTATCGTGCTGGATCTACGGACAACAATTTCAATGTACGAACCTTTCCATTTGGGCAAATACACATAACATCGGTGAAGGTGCCCCCACGATCAATGGCAAAGCAAAATTTTCCACTCATTTTTCACTCAAGCCTTTTAATGAAGTAGAATCACCTGCGAAATGAAAGAAAAAACGGGGAATAAATGAATGTATAAAATGTTTCAGTTTTCAAAGTCGTTCCCATCAACCAATTTATACGTGTTGGTGTTGGTGCCTTATTCGCCCATTAAATATAAATTACAATGGTCAATAAAGGAGAAACTTTTTACACGTAGCATGTAGCGTAATGGAACGTCGTAGCTGTCGCTGTCGTACTTTACAATTTTCAAATGACTCGAGCATCTCGCGTGCTGCTGTTATTTATAACGAAATACATGAAAATTAATCGAGTCGACAGAAAATTGTTTCGGTATTTGATTCAAAGCAATTAAAAGCATCATAAAATGAGTTTGGAATGTCTTTAAATCATTTTAAATGGTGTTTTTATACGAAACAATGTCGTAGCGCACGCACATCGCACACACACACAGACATTCAATCAAACAAACGTTTCAAAATACGCCGGCCCCACTTTACTAGTCTAAGCACTTTTTTTCAACTGGTTTGAGGCTGTATGTAATCAGTTGAACTCGAAAAAACAGTTCGGTTGAACTGATAATGGTGCAACTCCATTTTAATCTACGATCTTTAGATTAGTTTTTTTTTTGGCAAACATTTGATAAGATTTTTGGTGTTGATTTGCGATTTGGAATTTTCCTTTCTACTTACTTTTCCAGCGAACCAATGGTTTCAATCACACCTTTTGCATAACGTATGGATATTTAACAAAAGATGGGTTTATATCAAATGAATGGATTTTTTAACCACACACAACGAGTTATGACACAAAATAATAATCCAAAGAAGGTTCCAATAGTTTAGGAAATAATAAACAGTAATTGAATTTAACACAAGTATCTGAAGTATGAAAAATTAGTAGCTGCGCAATGTTTTCAGTACAAAGATCTACCGAACACTGTTGTTCAGTTGACATTCAGACGATCGGCAAAATCCGTTTATCTTGCTCTGTATCACAACACAAATATTTACTAAACATTGTGACGTTTGGATTAACTGATTTAAATGTCATGAACATATGTGAAAATCGATCTTTCGATAGGGATACTGCACATCAATTCCTGCACTCAGAACGGCGGGACATTTAATAACAATTTAAAATGGAGATAATGATTGATGGTTGGAGTTATTTTTGTTTTGCTTGATTGTATGAACCTATATGCAAATATATGCGTGCAGAATGAAAATATATGTCAATCGAGAAGTGAGCAGTTCAATTATTCAGGAAACAAACAAAGTTAATGTAAAAAAAACAGCTCATTCATCATGAGTATTTTTACGAACTTTACTTTTGCTATCTTTGCACTTGAACTGATATCACTTTATTTCTAGCATTGTCAATGGCGAGGTCGACTATAACATCAGTTTAATTTGACTATTCATAGTGTCATAGTGTTGCCGTCGCTTTACACTGCACGCTATTAAAAGAAATATCGCCGCGGCATTGGTAGTGTGTTGAAAATAGGTAATCGAAAATATTCAAATGGAATGTTTTGATTGCTAAGCAGCACCATTTTAACACATTTTCATGTTAACGTTGTAAATTTGGTATTAAAACGTGAAATCAGATTCAATTGATGGACTGGCCAAACGCGGTGTTTGCATTTGGATCAGAAAAATCACATTTGGAACATGTTTCTACTTTGCAATGCCAAAAAAAAAAGCCGAACTGGATGAAACTATTTTTGAGTTGCTTCAACATGCATGTAAAAAAGGACACAATGTCGCTCGAATGATATTTCAATCCGTGTTGTGCAACGGTTATGGTAATTCAACGTGCTAGAGAGGAAAAGTAAAGAAGAATCGTGGTGTGGGCAAAAATCAAAACTCTAAATGAAGCGTAACTACCATAATGTCAGCTCCTATCCTAAATCATAGAAAATTTGAAATTATTGCAAACGTAACGGCAATAGAGATGAAGCGAAAAAAAATGCCAGTCGAAAAGATTATTTATCTACATTTGATGGCTATCAGTTACTGATGGAGCGCAATAAATTTGCAACGTATTTTTTTCTGCTCGTTGCTTACGCTTCTTTCCGTTGGCCCGTAGCTTGGGCACAAAATCTCTCTGGTTGTCGCCATAAAACGTTTTTCTCGTTCTCGCTCTGTCACATGTAGGCAAATGATCCAAATCCGACAGAATCATTTTGCGTGTTTTTTTTTCTGCTCAGTTTTATAACGATTCATTCGGACATTATGCAAACACAAACACAAACATACATATACGCAAAGTAGAGAAGAAGAAGGAAAAAAAACCGAAATGCAGACACGAAATTCCATTTCGTATAAATCGTCGCCGTTGATGTAACGGGGGCAATGTTTGGATTTTAATAGCCTTTAATACACATTGAAATCTCTATCTACTGTATATCCACATTGGATGTGTGTGTGTGTATGTGTGTTTTGTTACAATTTACGTTGCTTAGCTTACCCTCGCGCGATCTCTGTTCAGACAAGCTGTATAAAAATCAGCACACCAGTTTTAAGCCAAATTTGTTGGCTACTTAGTTTTTCATGCCGATTTTCTCTTTCTTTCGCTCGTTCTGCCGTCATTAGCCCAAAACCATTTCGTCTCGTATTTCCTTTCCGACGATTTTTTTTCTTGTCTGAAATGCGTCATCGTCAAATTGCCGCTTCATTTTCGTTTTCTGTCTGCTCATGATCATCCTACGAGTTAACATGCGTTTCTTTCACTCCTTTTTCGGTGGTGGTGTTGTTGTTTGCTTCGACTGGCGCTGCTAATTTGAGGAATGAGCACGGTTTAAAACTGTTATGAACATACGGTGCCACTCAACCATTTTGCATTCCGTTGCCATTTGCCATTGTTTTTCCGATGGTGATTCAGCTGGGTGTAAACACATCACCGTTTGCTGCCATGCTTTTAAGTTTGTCTTTGTCTTTTATGTCACATGCAAAGTGGATGGCATACAGTGGGCCCAAAAATGCGAACGCACTGCACATTTAAATGGAAATAAGCTATAATGCCGAGAGTAAACACGACCAATGTGAATACACAGTGCAACGCGATATTAATAACATATGAACACCAAAGAGCCAACCGTTCACGTACACGCATCAACGAGAGCAAGATTTATTTCTCTTCAAAATTCAAGTGGGATAAGCCTCTTCCACAGTGTCTACCTAATTTGTTCAGCAGCACGGACCAGTTCAATTGACGCGAGTTGATATATTATTTAAAATTCAAGCCCAGTACCTACGCTTATTTTGTATTCTGCGCTCAGATTTTGCACTTTTGTTGACAAAATCGTCACTAACGTTTACGTTGACCCGGTGCATATCAGTGAAGATATTTTGAAATTTCGGGCAGAAACGACGTGATGATATACTTTCGCTCATCAAATTAAATAACCCATTTGGAAAGTGTAGTTAAAAGAGAAACTTGGTTAAATTGCCGACATATCCATTATATCTGTTTTGTCGATATTGTCGAAATTTTCCGTTCTAAAAGTCTTGCCTATGCACACATTTTCAAATATCATTTCTTGTCGATATATTGATCCGCGTTTGAATGCCGCTTTAAAAATATCGCAAACGATGAATCCTCAGACCACGTATTTAGATACCTGGATACCATCTTCCAAACAAACAAACCAACATAGATAAGACTCGCGCCAAATTATTGATTCCGTTTTGCATTAAGGAACGTTCCACAAAGAACAACTGTTGGCATTCACATGCACTACGAAGTCCATAGTAAGAGTACACGTAGCTAATATTGAATTATTTAAGAGAAATATGGGGAAAAGACGCTCTTATTAGTTTGCGGTTGGACAATCATTCACGCATTATTGACACACTTAACTAGTTGTCTTTCAATCACTCTCCTTACTGTTCCACATACTTCATACAGCCAATAGAAGCAATGATAGAAGGTGTTTATCATTTATAATATGAACATTTTTCAACAAAAAAAATAAAATAAAAAGACGAAATTCATTGAAAAATAAAAGAAATAATTCAATGAAAAAAGAATAATAATTCAATCATGGATAAACTGATTTAAACGGCGGATTAGGACCTGAATAAAAAGAAAAGTGTTAATAAGAACTGAAAAGTAAAAATAAATTGAATTCAAAATGATGTTGTCATTTTTACGCACATTGGGAATAGTGCTTTTGTTTTCTGGTGTAGTTTACACATTTGGCGATGCAGACAGCATTGTGACGAACGACAAAGGAACCTTTTTTTTCAGAATAGGAATATTGCTATAAAATGGAACAACTCAAATCTTGGTCAAAAAACTTATTTCCAAAAATCGAATTTTTTTTCGAGAGAAGAATGGTTCCGAAAAATTGTAGATAAATTGTAGAATTAAAATCAATTGTCTGTTTTCGAATATGTCAGCCCATTCGTTCGATATTGAGACGAGTCATGCAAATTGCTCCAAAATTGATAAAACTCAAATCTGTAGGTGCTTGCTTCTACAATTAATTTCGAGCCACTACAATTAATTCTTGGTTACTTCAATTATTAAAACACGTTTTATAGCAGTTTAAAGCAGTTTTATTCCCATATTAAAATATTAAACTCCCCTGGAGAAAAATAAGTTGTTGAAAACATCAAGAATCGGTTGACTGATTATAATTCTACATTTTTTCCACAATTTTATGGAACCTAGCAACAAAAGAGGATTCAGTTTGTGGAAATTTCAATTTGTGGCCAAGATTTGAGTTTTATCAATTTTGGAGCAATTTTCATGACTCGTCTCAATATCGAACGAATGGGCTGACATATTCGAAAACAGACAATTGATTTTAATTTATCTACAATTTTTTGGAACCATTCTTCATTCGAAAAAAATTCGATTTGTGGAAAATACGTTTTTTTGACCAAGATTTGAGATGTTCCATTTTATAGCAGTTTTTCGATGGCCGATAACTCAAAAAAATTGTTCCTACATAAAAAAAAGTAAAAACACTACATTAAACTACATAAAATCTATAATTGAAATCGCCCTACCCGAAGTCATTTCGGCAAATTTTCCAAGATTTGAATATTCATCTAATAATATGTCTGTTGGTCATATGCCAAAAATGGATATGTTGGTTACTGCCCGGGCAGTACAAAAGATTACGGGAACTTATACGGGAAATCAGTTTGATGCCATGCCAATGGATGATATACCTTAGACTGATCCAAAAAAAAAAGAGTTGTCCCTCATCTGGAATGTCCGTCCAGTTTCGAAAAATATACCTCGAAAAAATGGGTTTGGCGCAAAGAACGCGTATGGGTACCATATAAAATCAGGACGCAAGCCCCATATCAAATTTTTCATGACAGCGATTTCGGAAGCCATTTAAATTGCAACATTTCGACCGATTCCATTATTCCATCCGATTTTTGGCAAAAATTAATGATGGGGTTTGGTTTGTCTCGTCAATATTTCTTAACTTTAACCGACATTAGCCCTTGAAAAGGCATTCTGGGCCAGTTACAGTGTAAAATGACCAAAAAAATGAAAAAATTTCGGCATTTTCTACATTTGGTCTCATACGAGTCACCCAGATGGTAGACTTTTGTTCAGTTTTTAACTTGTGTCGTGTAGCCAGAATCTATACAAATATTTTGGTACTTGCCAGATTGCGATTTGAATAAAATTTGGTGCCAATTGATTCAGATATAAAAGACAAATTTCAGGCCAAAAAGTGCAAATCACGAACATGAGCTTCGGTTTGACAGATAAAAGAAAGTGATTTCTAACTTTTCTGCCTTTGAACGTCTAGTATGATCCCTTACAAACATTTTGGGTACTTACACGACCGAATCACCATTAACTTATAACTTTCGGAAACACAATGATTTGGCCCAATTTTCAGGTAATAATCTTTGCTTGATGATAGTGTTTAAAATCGACAACATTAATTTTGAATGACGTAAGTATAGTTAAAGAGGAATGAAAAGGAGATTAGAAAAATATAAGAGAAAGAAATTAGTTTTCATTTATTCATTCTCTTTTGTTAC